AGTAATTCTGGGAATGGGCGCATTCCCAGCACATTTATTACAAGGTGACATTGCAGAGTGCAACGAAGAAGGTAATTTCAAAAAATGATCTGTTTGAGAAAAATTAATCAATTAATACTTTTCATCAAGTTACCAGTTACTTACGCTCAACGTCAATCAGCAGTGCAACCAAATGCAAAGATAGCGAGCACGCTTCGTGACCATGACAGTTTGCATAGAAATAGCTCAAATTATACAGACCCCAAATGTAAAACAAATTAAATTTCGGCAAATTAGAGAGCGCTGCACAAGCTGTATGCGGCACCTAACGAAGTAAGGTCAAACTGTGTGAACAATTTCATACCTGGTTAGCATTGCGGGTCGGCAATGGCGTTAAAGAAGTAGCGTCGAGGAACTGCACCCTGGGCGCTGTAGAGGAGGCGGTGTTAGTAGTTTCTGCAGCAGCAGTATCTCCGCTTACGGATACTTTGCCTGCCTGGCTGCTAGCCGGTAAAAAAACGGAAGGATCTGAGCGACCACTCATTTCTGACAATGCAGCAGTAGACCGTTCAATAGTCGAAGATCTGATATTTTCGGGTATCTTTAAACGTTTCCATGCATCTCGGCGAACAAATAGACTGCCAACTGGTACGGGTGATGAACTGACGTCCCTTGACTCACCAACGTTTGGTGACTGGGCTGAAACAAGGGCATCCTCTTCGTGAAAACCGGTGAACAGCTGAAAATAATCAAAGAACTTATTTAGAAAAAAATATACTAAAACAAAAACATTTTTGTGCATAGCTCGCGCACCTGAGAACGATTCAATGGAAGTTGGTTAAGTGGTCGACGATTGAAAGATCTGCCAACAGTCGGAGTTACCCGCATTGGGCTGCCAACGACAAGTCCTGCAGCTTTGTGCTGATCAGCCAACACACTGCTTATGGCCTGACCACTGAGCACGGTTCCAACTGAAGGTCTTGAGGTCGTACTTGACACGGTAGTAGAACGATTCATCGCAGAAGCCTGGGATTCATTGAAGGCATCCAAATGTCGAAAAAGGGCCGACTGACCGTAAGGCATGCTCCTGACCAAGTCAAGGACATGCTGTTGTGCACGAGCGTTCTGTGTTATTTGTTCCACGAGAGGGCCTAAGGCAGCTGCATTTGTTGCCAGTGCGGAAGAGCCGAACGCAGACTATAAAAGTAACACAAAGGAGGAACGGAAAATGGAATGAAATCTGGGTAAAGAAGAACCACTTTTGACAGTTTTTTTAAGAATTTTTGTGAATAAATCTCGCTTATTATAAAATGCATTCTTATTGCGTAGTGGGAAACAACGGGAATGCTACCAATGCCAGGAAATAAAAAGTGCACAGAACTGGAACCTGTATAGTAGCAACTAGTCAAGCAATCCTTTGCGGTTCTGACAAATAAATGAATGTAACGAACGCAATAAGTAGTAATTAATCGGATTTTTTAACCTGTTTTTGAAGGGCATGCGCATAAGCCAAAACAGCAAATCGCGCACTTTGTCATAAGTAGAAACAAATTCCTTTTTTTAAAACACCGGTGACTGACTGAAAAAAGTGCCTAATTAGTTACTTAAGCGGTTTTAGGATAATACTTACTACTTGTACTTGTTACGGCTGTGATCATGCCTGATATAGCCGGCCTCAATGA